TATTGCCGTCTTAAAAAAGAAAAAAGAAGCCTAGGACAAATAAAGAAAAAAAGAACACACATTCATAAAAACCTAGAATAAAAATCTGAATCCAGATAATATCAGCATGAGGGTATGGACCGAAGTGGGGGAAATCAAAGAGGCATGAGAGTGTATTAAAGTACGTGTCATGATGCGGGAAACTATAATTATTGATTTGTTTTTAAGCTATCAATAGGGATACATAAGCTTGAGTAATGGTGACTACCTTGAAAATAAAAATAGAATGTATAACTTTTCAACTAACAGAAGAAAACCCCATCTACCCAATAGAAGGGTGGAAAGGAGAAAAAGAAACAAACAAAACACAGTAAATGGAATATATAAAATAAGATGGTGGTGGAAATAAGCCTTATAATAATAGCAACTACAATTGATGTAAATGGATAAAATTAATCAATTGAAACCAGAGATTCTCATATTGGGTAAGAAAATAAGATCTAATAATACATGCCCTAAGAAGATACACTAGAATTTAAAAACACAGAAATATTGAAAATAAAAAGATATGCCAAGAAGATAAAAAGATCGAAAAAGATATACCAGACAAACGAACCAAAATTAGCTGAGATAGCAATCTTGATATCTGACAAAATAGAATAATGCAAAAAACATCATAAGAGACAAAGAAGAATATTAAATGCTGGTAAAAGGAAAAATAGATGAGAAGATATAGCCATTATGAACACATAGGCAACTACTAATAACAGTTTCAAACCACATCAGGTATCAACTGACAGAACTGCAGGGAGAAATATATAAATCAACAATTGCAGTAGTAGATTTTATTGCAACCATTTTGAAAATGATAGATCAAGCAGAGAAAAATAAGCAGAAAATTCAAGGAACTGAATAATATAACTAATAAGCTTAGCTTATATAATATAAGCTTGAACTTATATTGTGCTATATATAGAAGCCTACACTGAACACATTCCTATTAAATGAAGGGAGCATTTATGACCATGAATTAGGCCATAATAGAAGTCTCAATAAATTTCATAGGATCAATATCATATGACTACATTCTTTGATCATAGTGCAATAAAACTAGGAATGAATAAAAGAAGGAGCTAAAAAAGTCATATATATTTGGAAACTAAATAACACACTATATAACTCGGGTTTAAAAGGAAGTTATACAGAAATATATGAAATGTTTAAAACTAAATAATAATGAAAATACTACATACAAAATTTTGTAGGAGACCGTTAAAACTGTATTACAGCAAAAGTTATAGCTTTGAATACATTTATTAAGAACCAAGAAAAGTTAAAAATAACAGGCTTAACACTCAGCTCAAGAAGTTGGGAAAACAGCTACAGAACAAAATAAAATAAACAGAGAGAAGGGCAATAATTAAGAAAAGGGCAGAAATCAATGAAATGGAGAACACAGGGGAGATTAACGAAGCCAGAAGCTGGCTCTTTATAAAGATTAATATGATAAACAGATCTTTAGCAAGACTGACTAAGGAAAGCACAGAGAATATACAAATAAACGAAATATAGAATAAAAAGGGGGAAATAACTATAGGCTCAAGAAAGATTTAAAAATAATTTTAAAACATTATGATCAAACATGAGCTAGGGGCTGGCCCCGTGGACGAGTGGTTAAGCTCGCACGCTCTGCTTCAGTGGCCCAGGGTTTCGCCGGTTCGGATCCCGGGCATGGACATGGCATCGCTCATCAGGCCATGCTGAGGCAGCATCCCACATGGCACAACCAGAGGCACTCACAACTAGAATATACAACTACATACTGGGACGCTTTGGGGAGAAACAGGAAAAAATAAAATCTTTAAACAAACAAACATACAAACAAAACATGAGCTAATAAATTTGAAAACCTAGATGAAATGTAAAAATGCCTAGAAAAATATAAAAAATGGGTGCAAGAAGACAGAGAAATTAAAAAGGGAGTTAGAAAATTCCCTCCCCAAACTGTCCAGTCTTAGAGGTTTTTACAATCCATTCTTCCAAAATGTCAAGGAAGAGTAAATTCCTACCTTATGCATGTTGTTCCAGAAAATTTTAGTTCAGAAAATTTTATGAACATAGTTGTGTAAATCTTAAATAAAATATTTTAACAGTGTGTTAAAAGTAGTACATAATGAAATACTCAGAGCAAATTATGATTGTTTAAATTAATTCCAGAAAAGCTTTTGATAAAGTTCAACAACCTTTTATAATAAAAAGTCCTAATAAACTAGTAAGACAAGGTTAAATAGAAAGATCTTATTACAACATTATATTTGATGACAAAACTTTAGATGCATTTATTCTCTTTAATGTTGGAAACACGGAAAGGATGCCCACCATCACCATTACTGTCTAAGATAAAACTAGCAATCATGGCCAACGCTTTATGGAAAGATAAAGAAGTAAGGTGATAAAATTGGAAAGGAAGAGATAAAACACTTCTTTTTGTAGATAATACTATTGTATACATAAGAAAAACAGAATCAGTAGACAAACTATTAAAACCAATAAGAGAGTTCCACAAGGTTTCCAGGTAAAAGACAGACATAAAGAAAATGAAAGCATTTCTCTGTGCCAGCAATAATCAACCAAAAAATTTAATTAAATTTAAGATATCATTCATAATAACATCAAAACCATAAAGCATCTAGGAAATAATCAAGAATACATAAGACTTCTATGTAGAAAACTTAAAAACCCTAGTAAAGGATGGTAGGTTATTTGAATAGATGATTTAATAATATAAAAAATTGACATCTTTCCAAGTTAATTTTTTAACTCAATGAAATTTAATCAAAAGTCCAGCTGGTTTTTGGAAGAGGTTGATAAACTTACTTTAACATTTATCTGGAAGAGTAAATGTCCATAAATAGGTCAACTTTGAAAAAGAAGAGAAAAGAGAGGGAACTTGCCTCACCAGATATTAAGACAAACAAGCCATATTAATTAGTGCAGTGTGGTAAGGGTGAAGAACAGACAATTGCATAGAATAGAGGGCTCAGACCTCAACCTTAACATACAATAAATGGAGAGAATATGATTGCTTAGCAAGTTGATGTTAGAGAAGTGGCTTTTATATAGAGAAAAATAAAAGTGGACCCCTATGTGACACCACATACAATGTAAAAGATACAACTTTAAAATCAGAAAATGTAGGGACGTATATTTGTAACCCAGGGGAAGAGAAGACCTCTTCAACAAAATTTGAAAACACACCAGGGTTGGGTCCTTCTAGTTGATGAGGGGCACCAGGGAAAAAGTTAGTAGATGGTAGACCGAGAGAAGATATTTTCAATATCTAAACCCAACAACGGGTTGATATCTAGGACATACAAAGAACCCTTGCAAATCAATAAGAAAAAGACAGCTAAACCGATAGGAAAAAAGGGCAGAGAATATGGACAGGCAGTTGACAGAAGAGGAAACTTTAAATGAACAGTTAGAACAACAGTGACATATCATGGTTAGACTGGTGAAATCAGAAAGCTGGATAATAGCAGGTGTACACGAGGATGTGGGAAACAGGAATCCACACACACTGCTGGTGGAAGTGTAGACTATGGCAGTGCTGGGTCAAAATAAGTGTATGCACACTCCACGAGCCAGCAATTCCAGATCCTGGTGTATATCCCACAGAAATGCTCACCCTCGTGCAAAGGGAACATGTGTAAGAATATTCATTGCATTTCTAGTGGTGTGGAGTTGGAGGCTTGCTGGCGGTTCCTCACTGGAGGAGTGGTAGGTGGAATGTGTAGGGTGATTAACTCGTCCTGATTGACCGGGACTTGTCCGATTTTCGCCCTGAAACTCTATGTCTCAGGAACCCCCTCAGTCCCAGGCAAACCAGGATGGTTGGTCACCCTAATATGTGTTGCATGTGTCCCATGGACTACTGTGCAGCAGGTAGAAGCAACAGATTAGCCTAGCAAAACAGTGCTCAGGGGTCGGCTCCACAACTGAATGGTTAAGTTCACACGTTCCGCTTCGGCAGCCCAGGGTTTTACGGGTTCGGATCCTGGGCACGGACTGGTCACTGCTCATCAGGCCATGCTGAGGCGGCATCCCACATGGCACAACCAGAAGCACTCACAATAGAATATACAACTATGTACTGGGGGGCTTTGGGGAGAAGAAGAAGAAGAAAAGAAGATTGGCAACAGATGTTAGCTTAGGTGCCAATCTTTAAAACAAAAAACAGCCCTCAGTGAAACAAAATGAAATATATAACACACCATTTAAGTAATATGCTCACAAGACAACAATATGAATTTTTGTAAGAACACACAGAAAACTGACAGATACACATTAAACACATTAGAATGGTTGTAAATGGAGGGAAAGAATATGGGGATAAAAGAGAATACATAACATACACACATACAAAAAACAAGAGCAGGGCCTTGCAGGGACCAATGAGATAAGATGCCATAAACAGAGATAAATGATTTGCTCAATCCTCTGAGCCTGAGGTTCAAAAGAAAAAAAAAAAAACTTTTTGGGGAGACACAGTGGGAGAGGAGCCCATAGCTCTTGGAGAGAAAGGGGCGAGGTCCGTGCGAGACTGGGGCTAGCCTGGGCCCTCCACGTGCCCAGGGAACACGGGGAAGGGAGGCGGGGCCTGCAGCCGTGGCTCACCATCAGGCCCACAGTGCCTGTAGGCCCTTCCTCTGGAGAGAACAAAAGACCCCGACAGGGCAGCGGGCTGCTGGTTGGGCCCAGATGCCCTTCTCTGTGGCAGTCTCTCTGCAGGGGCCTCTCCTGTGCAGAGGTTCCCTGAGAGGGATCTGGGTGGAGCCTCTCTCTATCCAGGATGGAGGTTCCTCCACACCCTCCCACCACGCCTCCTCCCAGGAGGACAGCCAGAGCTGAGGAGCCCTGAGCAAGCCGGCCTCCCAGGACTGGGGCCAGTGCACCCCAGGAGACGGGGAGGTGCTTGTTTCTCTGGGCTCAGGGCTAGAGCTGCCCCGAGGGCATCCTACCTCATCGAAGTCAGCCACGTCTTCACAGTTCTCCAGGACCCGAGAGTAGAAGGATTGCCCTGGGTGGGAGAAAGAGGAAATCTCAGAGTCAGGCCTCCCTGGACAATGAGCTTTCGGTTGGACTTCTTGACCTAGTAGTTGTCGTTACAGCATTTGGGTTCACACAGCACTTGTTACCAACGAGGGGACCTCCTGTCTTGTGCAGCACTCTCCAGGATGAGGCAAGTGCCCATATTGTCTTATCCGACACTCAGCAGCCCCGTGAGGCAGGCACGGCAAAGGTCATTGGCTCCACTTTACAAATGGGGATACTCAAGTACAAGAAGGCGCGAGGCTGGTCACAGGTAGGAGTGGGAGTGGAACCCGGTCTCCTTCCTCCACCAGCTGCCTTCTCAGCGGCTTTCTTGGGCCCCTTCGCAGTCTCCTCAGTGCTGCTGGCTTCCCCTGGCCCACAGCCGCCCTGAGCGGAAGCCTGGCCCCCAGGGCGGTGGGCGCCCTGCCTGCTGAAAGCTCACCTCCATGACAGTGTCTGCACTAGGGCCCCCGGGGCCAACCAGTCAAGACCAGTCCTTCCTCCCGCTGTAAGCCAAGGGCCTTCGCCTTCCTCCAGTCTCGCCTTCGTTCTTCTGTAGCTTTAGCACAGGGAAAACCTGGGCTGGTTTCTCCCCGTACTCCATACCTGCCCCTCCTTTCACCCCACATGGTAATAGAGGGTTTGTGATATGGACGAACATTTTCCCAGACCTCCTGCCACCCCACATTCATACACCACCCGACAAGGCAGAAGTAAAGCTGCCCGCTTTTCTAGCCCCTCCAGTCAGAACCTGCCCAGGCTGCTGGAAGAACCATAATCAGGAGAATGAGGGCAGGTGGAGGGGATGGTGTGAGCTCTCTATGGGAGACTTGGGCCAGCTCAGGTCACTTTGAGAAACCCTCACTGGAGTCTGTGATGTAGGAGGCCACCTCCTGGGGACTTGGGATAGAGGCATGGATAAAGGGCACGGGAGCCCTGCCCTCAGGGAGCGGCCGGTCTAGTAGGGGAGGCCAGGGAACCAGAACATGCCACCAGTTCAACACCATACAATACATACCCCAAGATACAATTGTGTATGAGATGAGAAGTGGTACGGGGAAGGAAGGATAAATACTATTTTTTAGGGGGAAGGAGTAGGAGCACCTGAGAAGGGGTTGTAATTTCCATGAGGAGAAACCCACAGATAAGGTGGATTAAAAAGAATTATTATTTAGGATTAATTTATTATCACCTATCAACTGTACACCAAAAAAAAAAAAAAAAAAGATAGTGTGTAACAAGACCCTGTTTATAAACAAACCCTAAAACTCAATTTTTCATATGTGAATAGACAAAGATCTCAAACCATTAAAAGTGGTTGTGTCAACGTGGACCCTCCAGAAACAGTTCAACTGACCCCATCTTATCAACAGAGTGATTAAGAACACCAAGGAGAACCAAAGATTCTCCACACTGTGGAACCGAAGGACTGGGATGTGACTCGAATTTAAAAGTGGGAATTTAAAAGAAACGAGGGGTCCATTGTTGAGGAAGATCTGATGTTAAAACTCCTTCCCCACCTTACTATAAATGTTTAGAACCTCCTCATAAATGTTTAGAACCTCACCATAAATGTTTAGAACCTCCTCATAAATGTTTAGAACCTCCTCACAAATGTTTAGAACTTTACCATAAATGTTTGAAGCCCACCAATCAAATCCTGCCCCACAAGCATTTCTGCATGCCAGCCTATTCTCCTAACCTCTTAAATTTTGCCGCAAATCCTGAGTCGGGGAGACAGATCTGAGGGCACACGTCTCCTGTGTCCCTGCAGATTGATCTCACAGAATAAAGCTGATTTTTCTGCTGAAATCTGATGCTGTAGTTAACTGGCTTGTTTATACTCATTTGGTAAGACAGCCCCATTTTTGGGTGGTAACAGTTATCCCTGGGCAGGAGAAGTGAGAAGATATTGAAAGCAGCATACTTTGAGTTTGTAGTGTATACACTTGAGTTTGAAATTTTTTCAACAAGCATGCTTTACTTTTTTATTGAAAGAAAAATGCTTTTAAATCCCCACCATCCTAAGCCAGTGGACCCGTTCACTGAAGGCCTATCTCAAGGTTGAACTTAATTCCATTCTGAGGGTTAGTTTGGGTTGTCACTGATGGGCAGGATGGGGACCCAAGGGAGGACTTGGCTGGGTGCAGCACACTGTGCTCTCCTCCTCACAGAAAAACCTGGAGACCGAGCGTAACGGGCACCAGGCTGGGGTGGGGGGCTTGGAATGAGCCCCCTCTGACCCTCCACTGTAATGAGGCTCCCTCCCTCTGGGAACCTCTTCTCTCCTCTGGCCTCCATTGCCTCACCTGTACATAAGAGGTTTCGTGCAGAGATCTCCAGGGCCTGCCTGGTTTTTAGAACTTAGGAGCAAATCTTAGTTCAGTAGTCAAATCCTAGTTCAGTAGGAGCTACCCTCTGACAAGGAAGAGCCCAGGGTTTGAGGTAGATGGTCTGAGGAAGGGGGTGTGAGTGTGTGTGAGTGTGTGTGTGTATGTGTGCATTTGGAGGGTAGGAGCATCTGGGGAGCGGTTGCATCCAAGATAATGAGGAAGAAGCTTTAAAGTAGAAGCTAAATACACAGAAAATGGATGCCAAATAGACAGATGGGAAAGAAAGACTCTAGTCCCAGCCAGGGACAAAACAAAACAAAGACCCAAAGGAAAAATCTCAGCAACAAATCCCAAGGCAGCCAGGGGTGGGGGGAACATGAGAGATGGTGCCTGAGCTTCTTTTAATTTTTCCCACAGGTAACACACAATGTAAGTGGAGAATCAGGTGAGCACATTTGTGCACTGGGGCTTCCCCAAAGATCTGCTGTTCTGGATAATCAAAGGCCTTTTCATCTTAGGAGATCCTAATGAGTCTCGGATACGGCTGTGCTCAAGCATCTCCCAGAGTGAAAACTGAGCAACCCACCCAGAGGCGGGTGGAGAGGGACCATCCAAGATGGTGCCAGGGCTCAGACCCACCCTGGCCTGCGTCTTTCCCACAGCCTGGTTAGACAGGTCTCGAGATACAGTGAGATTAGCCATTGCAGAACTTACATATCAGGGCTCTGTTTTGAAATGCAGTAAAACCACATTGCCTTGGCCCCTGAGGATGTAAATGTGATGAATATTGTCAACAGAATGAGCTAAATTTTACCTCTAGATATTAAAAAAAAAAGTTTGCTGAAACAAATCCAATCAATCGTACTGAAACAGTGGAAAGCGCAACTTATTATTATTTTTTTTTTTAAAGATTTTATTTTTTCCTTTTTCTCCCCAAAGCCCCCCGGTACATAGTTGTGTATTCTTCGTTGTGGGTTCTTCTAGCTGTGGCATGTGGGACACTGCCTCAGCGTGGTCTGATGAGCAGTGCCATGTCCGCGCCCAGGATTTGAACCAACGAAACACTGGGCCGCCTGCAGCAGAGCGCGCGAACTTAACCACTCGGCCACGGGGCCAGCCCCTGGAAAGCGCAACTTATTAAGAAAACAGAGTGTCCTATGGCATTTTTGAAAAGCCGCTTCTAGGAGGGTTTGTGCCAATGGTGGCAGGGATCATTGCAGGGGTCCTTCTCTGTTCATTTGGACAGAGCCGGGGGACCTCTGTCAGCCGTGCCAGGTTATCTTGGGCATTACTAACCCCATCTCTTGTTTCAAGCCCATTTCCACTTAACATCTCCTCCACTCAACACCAGTCTTGTTGACATTTCAGCTCCATTTTAAATGGCTTTCAGATAAAACCATTTAAAATCCCAATATCCAATCACCTTTCTGGCCACAGAGAAGACTGAGAATAAGCCTTGAGAGAAAGAAAATAGCCTGTTAACCCCCTGCAGTGGAGATTCCTCTGTGGATAGAATGAGAGGGAGATTAGATGGGGAAAATTGAACAGCATCCTCCTTCCTTCAAAGGCAGCTGCTCATGGGATAGCTGAGCTGTTTGGTTTAAAATAAGCTCCTCCCTGAGTCAATAAATGAAGTTTGGAGAGCAGAGTCTGGCTCACAACTGTAATAAGTGCCGTGACGTCTGATATACCCAAATGGAGGGGCTCAGGAGTCCAAAGCTTAACAGAAGTGACTTTTATGTCATTTGCCACTTAAAATACCTGCACTGCAGCTACCCTCCTAAGGGAAGGTGAGCTCAGCTTGTGTCACATGCAGGACGCAGTGCTAGCCTTTCATGTGATGTGACCTTGGCACAAAACATCCCGTCTGCACACAACAGCTCCCTCTTCCAGACAGTTACCCTGGCTGGAGCCAGACCTCGAGAAAAGGCAGCGTACAGGGACTCAGCCGCTAGCCTGTGTGCATCCATTCATTGCCTCGTGCAAGAGGGCCTTCTACTCCTGCTGTTTCAGGGTGGCCATTTGGCCCTCGAGGAGGGTGGAGAGGGGGTTGTACAAAGAAAATTCCAATCCAGATGCTGCCTGAAGAAGCTTATTACAATCCAGAAGTGGGATGGATAGGTCAGACATGTAAAAGGCTACGACATAGGCAAACTCTGGTCATTGGCATGCAACAGTGTAAATAAAGTGAGAAGACAGGAAAAGGAGAAGTGACCGTCCCCTTACAGATGAAGGCATTGTAGAGGCGTGGGCCTTTCCGCTGGAAGAGCAGATGGAGTCTAGATAAGCAGAGGGACTGGGGAGAGAGAGGAAGGGCATCCAGGCCGAAAGAACAGTGTTAGCAAAAGTTTGAACCTTTGGAGCGGAGAAGGGAGACCTGCAGGAGCTGGACACAGGGCAGAGGGTTCTGACGGTGAAGGAGCAGCCCACTGGAGGAAGACCAGGGTGTGGGGTCCTGAGAGGGCACAGGTGGGGCTGTGGGCCATCTAAAGGGCAGGAGAGGGTCCTGAGGACAAGCTTCAGGGACATCATGGTTTTGCCCCAGACTGACCTCGGACTGCATCCCAGCAGTGCCTGCCATTACTCTCCTCCATGTGAGGTGAGAAATAGAGTAAAACACTGCTTGTGACTCAGACCCGTCACTGTCATTCCC